GTTTTTCGCAGCACTTTGTATGACCGCGCGCGCCCCCGGGCGACTATTTTTGAAAACCTGGGGTGCCAAAGTACTTCACTCGATCTGTTTTGTGCGACATCTATGTTCAATTTTGTAAATTAAAAAAGTACATTTTTATTCAGGTTTTAAAAATTTCCTTCTGCAAATACGGAAATTTTGCACAATGTTTTAGCAAAGTAAGCAAACAATCAAGTTCAAGGCAGTGAAAATTACGATCTGAAGGAAAAAGAAACATATTCAGATATAAGTAAAAAATTCCTGCCCAATCAATTTGAAAGAAGAAAATTTTCATCTTAGATTTTTGAATAAAGTACAAGTGATAAAATATTAGGTCTATCAAACGTAGTTAGCTTTCAAAAGTTTGATTCACAGCAAACGAAGGCGATTATCAGAATGTTATTTTTGGTCAAGCTTAAAATTTTTAAAAAGTTCTTAATGCAATCAACATATAAATAGCAGAAGGCTTTTATTTTCCAATAAGATAAAATTAGTTAGTTCCACTAATTTTACCCAGATATCTAATTTTAAAAGTTCATTGTTAAATATTGTAGGGAAAAATATCAATTTAAATGAATAACAAAAAAAGTGGAGATGATTTCGGAGAAATAAGGAGTAAAAGATCGATATCTTAAATTATTATAGTTTTTTCCTCCTTTAATAAAATGTTTGATAATCTAAAATTATTTAAAATATGAATAAATCTCGTAATTAGCTAATTGTTTCTTTTATATTGCAAAGAAATTTTGACATCAATATTTGTTGAAGAAAAGATAAGGACTGAAAATAAATGAGCTCAGTTAACGAAATGTCTCATCTTCCCGATGATATTCGCGAAAAATTAGCAGAACTTGAATTGGAACTTTCTGAAGGTAAGTTTACGCATACATACGAATATGAATCATAAGCATTAAATTTTATAAAATTTGTATATGCATCTTAAGTTTGCGTGCATGTAACGCTCTATTTCAGCTCAATCAAATAGAAACTTATGATGCTACTTGATAGTTATAATTCTATAAATTTGTTTACTTGTGAAATTTAGCTTAGCATTAAATTTTGTATAAATTTTAATATCTTTTAAAATTATCTTTTCGTTTTAGGTGATATCACTCAAAAAGGTTATGAAAAGAAGAGACAAAGATTGTTAGCTCCATACGGGAGCGTCGAAAATAATAACGCATCACAATCAGTTGCAGCTATTATTCCAAGTAAGTTTTCTGATTGATACATATTAACATTAATCTATTCTTGAAATGTACATAAATACCAATTGAAACATTTAAAAAAAGTAAGTTGACTTGCTTCGCAAAGAACTAGAATGTATTAACACTTTTAAAAGTTAGATTCAACTATTTTATAATTAGGTATAACTGAAGTAAATAAATTAGATGCATTCAAAATGAAACTTATGACTTTCTACTAATTCTACTAATTAATTCTAATTGAACAGCCAAAATTTTTCTTTTTGCTATTAGATTAATATTTAAATTTTCCATTAAACTTACATTTTGGTGATGGTATACTTTTCTGTCTTTTACGTTTCTTTAAAAAAAATTTAACATAAAGCCGAGAGTCATAGTTATGTAAACAGTATGGCAATTTTATCAAATGATAACGACGGCAGGTCAAATTTATCAAATATTCCTACATCAGCTGGGTCACGACGCGATCAAAGTGATTATGTTAATCAGCCTACAGGCAGTGGGCATCATCATCATCGCCATCATCATCATCAACCTGGATACAGCAGGGAGGGTAGTAACCATCAAAAGCACAGAAGAACTCAAAAACGCGTAACACATAACGAAAAACGTTATCATTCAGGTAAAGCTGCAATTAACGTCATATTGAATGCTAAAAGCATGCTGCATGTTAAATAAGTTATTTGTGAATAGAAGAATGTTCATGTATTATGTTTACTTTAATTCATTCAAATATTTCAGCACGTATTCGTTTGGCTTAGCTTTTTCTTTTACGCATCTTTTTCTTTATCTTGCCTTATTTTTTTTCGTCGTGTTAAGCTGAACTTCAACAACAACAACAAAATTTTGTCACCCAAAAATTAATAGCTTCACAATGTCATGTTGCTGTTACTCAGCAGCCGCAGCCTCAAAAAGCAAAAATCGTTTATCGATCTCATCAAGTAACTGACGAAGGAGATTTGCATGTCGATGAGCGTAGAAAACTGCGAAGTAAATCAGATAGACATCACGAAGGAAGATACACCAGTGGTAATTTTTTTTTATTGTATTTCCTAATTCTTAAAGTTATTCACGGCATGAATTTGTTTTTTATAAACAGAACATTTATTACAAAAATAGTTCTGTCATTTAAACTACGACTTAGTAATACTAAGAAATGTTTGTTTTGTGAACTTTGAATGTTGTTTGAACTTTGTTTATCTTTTAAAATTTTATTTTAACGCTTAAAATTATATGCAGGATGAATTCGTTGATTGTTATCTAAGTTGAATGCTTTTACATTTTTTCCCTCTTTTTTGTAATATTAAAAACTTTTAGAAATCATTTAAATATCACAAAATCATAAACATTTTACATTGATTGCTTTGAATCTAACAGAAGTCCGTCAAGAGGCGGTACAGCAAGCTCTCGCTGCATTTAAGAACCGCCCAAAACCAAGTCTACCGATGCCATCAAAACGCTCTTCGGTATTTAACCGAAGCCCAGAGCGTAGAGATGATCACGACTCAGGTAATTTGTTATTCAAAATATCTATTTTTAAACTCTTTTTTTTAATTGTAATTTGGAGTTGAAAGAATTATAAATCCATTTCGTCTGTTTTTCTCTTTAGATTCAACATCAGAAGAATCTAATCCTGAGGATATACAAACACCTGATCAAGAGATCGGTTACAATCTTCCTCGTGATCATATTGCAACAAACCGTGAACAAATGAAACTTCCATCGTCTTCCCGAAATGTTTTAGGAACAAAAAATGAGTCTGATCAGAGGAAACATCATCAAAATAAATCACAAGTCTCTGATACTTCAAGTACAGGTTCTCCGACCGCTTCTGGAAGAAAACTTATTCCTGTCGGTTATGATTACGCAACAGAAATGAGCGATTTGAGTTTAGCTAGCGCTGGTAGAAGTAAGTCTTTTATATCAATGATATTTGTAACTTTTTCATTTAACTCATCTACATTCGTTCATATGAAAACATTTATATGTAGATGAATATATTTTGAATTTAATTAATTGATTATTTAGACCAGCCTGACCTCACTCAATTTAGCGTTAACACGCGTCGTGGCGCTGATCGAGTGACCAGATATGCAAACTTACATCAGCAAGAACCCGGAGATACATCAACAGCTGGGCGTTGGAAAGTCTCTGCAAAGATACAACAACTTTTGAATACACTCAAAAGACCTAAACGAAGACCATTACTCGAGTTTTATGAAGACAATGATATTGAACTTGAATTAGCTGCCAATCCAAAAGATCCGAATGCTCCACGCCCAGAAGGAGCCACAATGACTCCCGTACAAGGTGAACAGTTGGTTATAACGTCCGGACTTCCAAGAACTTTAGAAGCTGCCCTTCAACGTTATGGAACATCCAGCTTTAAAGCACCAATGGCAACAGTTCTAGATACAAATGGAAAAATGACTACAACACTTACGTATGGAAAGCTTTTATCAAGAGCTCAGAAAATAGCACACGCCTTAACGACGAAAATATTTAGTAAAGGCCCAGAACAAATACAACTTAAACCCGGAGACAGAGTAGCTTTAGTTTATCCAAATGCTGATCCTTTGAATTTTATCACTGCTTGGTATGGTTGTATGTTCAGAGGCTTAGTACCCATTCCGATTGAACTTCCACTAAGCACAAGTGACACACCGCCACAACAAGTAGGATTTCTTTTATCCTCTTGTGGTGTTCAAGTAGCTTTGACCTCAGAAGCTTGTCTTAAAGGATTGCCAAAGTCAACAACAGGTGACGTTGCTAAACTCAAAGGGTGGCCAAGACTTCATTGGTTTATAACTGAACATTTAGCAAAAGTTCCAAAAGATTATAATCCTCAATCGTCACGAATAACTGAGGATGCCATAGCATACATTGAATACACAACAGACAAGGAAGGCTCGGTCATGGGTGTAACTGTCACCAGGCAATCTATGATTCAGCATTGCAGAGCTCTTACTATGGCTTGTCATTATACTGAAGGAGAGACGACTGTGTGCGTACTCGACTTTAAAAGAGAAGGTAAATTATTAATTCAACTTGATTGTAAATGAAGTAATTTTTTTTTCTTAGTGGGACTTTGGCATGCTGTACTGACAAGTGTGCTCAATGGAATGCACGTATTGTTTATACCATACGCATTGATGAAACTTCGTCCTTCGTCATGGATGCAGCTGATAACAAAATATCGAACCTCATGTTGTCTTGTTAAATCGCGTGATCTTCACTGGGGACTACTTGCCACAAAAGATCACAAAGATATCAATCTATCAAGTCTACGAATGCTTTTAGTAGCTGATGGTGCGAATCCTTGGAGCTTGTCGTCATGTGATCAATTCTTGAGCGTATTTTCTGCAAAAGGGTTGAGATCAGATGCAATATGTCCATGTGCAAGTAGTTCAGAGATATTTACTGTTTCATTACGACGTCCAGGACGAGCTAATATATCGTACAGCACGCAAAATACTGCAACGACTGGGAGAGGTGTTTTATCAATGGCTGCTTTATCACACGGTGTTGTTAGAGTCGACTCTGAAGATTCTTTAACTTCTCTAACATTACAAGATTGTGGACAAGTTATGCCTGGGGCAAGTATGATTGTTGTTCAACCAGACGGGCCTCCGATTCTTTGCAAAACTGATCAAGTAAGGCTATATTTGCAACTTCTTTTTCTTATCTATTCTCATGATTTGTATCTTCGAAAGGTTGGTGAGATTTGCGTCACATCTGGTTCAACTGGAAATGGATATTTTGGACTGGAAGGATTATCAAATTCAACATTCAAAATCTTGCCTTTGATTGACATGGCATCCCCGGTTCAAACAGCAACGATGACTTCGCAATCATCAGGAAAAGATATCGAATTAAATTTGAAACCGATCGGAGATGAAGCGTATGTTAGAAGTGGATTGTTAGGATTCTTAGGACCTGGTGGATTAGTTTTCGTATGCGGCTCGAGGGATGGGTTAATGACAGTCACAGGGCGAAAACATAATGCAGATGACATCATTGCAACTGTTTTAGCTGTTGAACCTATGAGGTTTGTCCGCAACACATTTTTTTTTATTTTTTATAAAGACAGACGCATATTTGCGGATTTTAGATTTATATATCGAGGACGAATTGCTGTATTCTCTATAAAAGTGCTGCGTGATGAAAGAGTTTGTGTGATAGCAGAACAAAGACCAGATTGTAGCGAAGAAGAATCTTTTCAATGGATGTCAAGAGTATTGCAAGCTGTCGACTCTATCCACCAAGTTGGGATTTATTGCCTGGCTTTAGTTCCCCCTAATCATTTGCCTAAGACTCCTTTAGGTGGGATTCATCTTTGCGAAGCTAGACGAAGATTTCTAGAGGGTTCTTTACATCCAGCAAATGTTCTTATGTGTCCTCATACCTGTGTAACTAATCTTCCGAAGCCAAGGGATCTCCATCAAGGTAAGTTGTTTTAACTATAAATTTGCTATGCCTTTTTTTGAGCTTTAAGTTTTATCTATACTTGTCTCTATAAAATGTAATATGAACTATGAATGAACATGCTTTTGTGAACTAATTTAATGTGCCGCTTTGTAATATTTATAAAATTTTTACCAAAATCTCTCTCAAATTGTTTTAAACTTTTTGGTAAAACCTTATAGTATTTAATCATTCTATTTTAAATGACGTAGAATTTCATCCCAATTTCAAATGATATAATGTATGCTTAAATATGTATTTTAAAACTTCTTTTAATCAATTTTTTAAACAAAAAAATTGTCTTCCTATGTGTTAAAGTACCTAATAATTTACAATTTGTATTTATTTGAAGGCTTTAAGTAGTTAGAAGTTCTTACTAATTATCCTGAATATTTAATTTTTTACATATGTATGCCTTACACGTGTACTTATTGAAAATAGAGACGATAATTGATTTCTTTTTCTAAATTAATGGAAACTTTTTTTTCTCATTTTTCCCTTTTTCTCACTCCGGATGGAATACACAAAACGGAAATTGAAATCATAAAAAATATTGAAATATCTCCTACGACTTTGTACAAAAATCCAAATTATGATTTCACTTTTTGTTTATTTTTATTTTTTGCAAACAAACTATCGTTCATCTTTGGTTCATCTTCTTGCTTTGCTAACCAAACTTATTGTTTAATAACACCTAACAAATTTTGAAATACTAACGGGTCAAAAAAATAAATAAATAAAAAGGCTCATTGTTGCAAATTTGTGGTACTTCAACATCTGCCTCATCATCTGCAGACACTTCCGTTGGACCAGCGTCTGTGATGGTGGGAAATTTGGTGCAAGGAAATCGGTTAGCCGCAGCACAAGGACGTGATTTAGGATTCACAGACGATAATAAAGTAATAAAAAATATGAATTATTATGTTGAAACTTAATGGAAACTAAAATGTTTTTGGTTTACGAATCTCAGCATCAACTCATCACAGGTGTTTTGAGATGGCGAGCAAATTCTTCTCCCGATCACGTACTGTACACACTTCTTAATTCAAAGGGTGCCATTGCAAAGACTATGACTTGTTCAGAACTTTACAAAAAAGCTGAAAAGATTGCTGCACTTCTTCAAGAAAGAGGAAAACTAAATCCAGGGGATCATGTTGGTAAGTTGTTTAATTTCCAAAACATATCAGACAACAAGTTTCAATGATTTTATGATTTTTCAGCTCTGATTTTTCCTCCAAGTCTCGATCTTATCGCAGCATTTTACGGCTGTCTTTATCTAGGAACAATTCCAGTAATTATAAGACCGCCGCATGCACAAAACTTATTAACAACTCTTCCAACTGTACGCATGATCGTTGATGTATCCAAGTCACTTGTAATACTTTCTACACAAAGCGTCATTAAGCTTTTAAAATCTCGTGAGGCAGCCAGCTCCGTTGACTGCAAAACTTGGCCACATATTCTTGATATAGACGACAATCCAAAAAAAAAAATTAGCAGCAATTGCAAACGCTACCCTCGAATCAACAGCTTATCTTGATTTTTCTGTATCAACGTGTGGAAGATTGGCTGGAGTCATAATTACACACAAATCACTGTCATCACTATGTGCATCACTAAAATTGGCTTGTGAACTTTATCCATCCAGACATGTAGCTCTCTGTTTAGATCCGTACTGTGGATTAGGTTTCAGTATGTGGACACTTATAAGTGTCTATAGTGGACACCATTCCTTATTGATTGCTCCTTATGAGGTAATTATTTACAAATTTACTTCGATAGTATAAGTACGCTTAATTTAATTAACATTACGGTGTAGGTTGAAGCAAATCCCTCTTTATGGCTTTCAACTTTATCACAATATCGAGTGCGAGATACGTTTTGTTCTTACGGAATAATTGAATTGTGTACTAAAGCATTAAGTAATTCCATTCAAACATTGAAGCAAAGGAATATAAATTTAGCGTGTGTTAGGACATGTGTTGTTGTGGCAGAAGAAAGACCAAGAGTTCAACTGACTCAACAGTTTTGCAAACTCTTTCAAGCTCTAGGATTGAACATGAGATGCGTTTCAACAAGTTTTGGCTGTAGAGTCAACCCCGCTATATGCGTACAAGGTGCGAGCTCAGCAGAAAGTACAAATGTAAGCAAATCATTTTTGACATCATTGCATTTGATTTGTGTTCTTATTTAAACTCATATACTTAAACTCTATCTAAAGAAAGTAGCTCGAGAAAAAGTAAAAAAATGGAAAATTAATAAATAACGTTTTTATCATGAATTGTCAGGTTTATGTTGATCTTCGGGCGTTACGCAATAACCGTGTTGCCCTTGTTGAAAGAGGAGCGCCAAATTCTTTATGCTTAGTTGAATCTGGCAAGCTTTTACCTGGTGTCAAAGTCATAATTGCAAATCCAGACACAAAGGGTCAATGCGGTGAATCTCATCTTGGTGAAATTTGGGTAAATTTTTGGAATAATTTAGATATAAGATTTTTTTTATATTATTCAAAATCTTCCTTAAAGGTACAATCTTCTCATAATTCTGGAGGATATTTTACAATCTACGGTGATGAGACCGATTACAATGATCACTTCAGCGCCAAATTAGTTACTGGATCATCAACAACTGAAACCTGGGCAAGAACCGGTTATTTGGGTTTCGTTCGTCGAACTGAATGCTCTCAAGCTTTTTCCGCTCTTGATGAAACACTTCCGACAGTTGCAAGTAGAGTTGAAGAACATGATTACGATCAAATGTACACCCAAACTGGTGGAGCAATTCAAACAACACCAGCATCTTTGAGTACTGGAAGTGGTATAAATCAAATAGGAAGCATAACATCTTCATCATCTCTTAACAATTGTAACACTGTAAACACACCACAAGAGATAGAACAACATGTGGCTGTTTATGTGGTCGGTGCACTCGACGAAGTTATAACTCTTAGAGGAATGAATTATCATCCAATTGATATAGAAAATTCTGTTCTACGTTGCCATAAAAAAATCGCAGAATGTGCAACATTTACTTGGACAAATTTATTGGTCGTTGTTGCCGAATTAGATGGAAATGAATCAGAAGCTTTAGATCTTGTACCTCTGGTAACGAGCACTGTTCTCGAAGAGCATCAATTGATAGTAGGAGTAGTAGTAGTCGTTGATCCGGGTAAATTTATTACTGCAGCATTTTCATAAAGTATTTCAAAATATTTTATTTCTCTTCTAGGAGTCGTTCCAATCAATAGTCGTGGAGAAAAGCAAAGAATGCATTTACGTGATGGTTTCCTGGCTGATCAACTTGATCCTATATATGTCGCGTACAACATGTAAACTTCACTCTTTTTTTTTAAGGTTGGCAATAAGCGTCTCTCTCAGTTTTGTTAACGTTAATATTTTTAACATTTTCAGTCGTATTTACTCAGAATATTATTCATATAATTCATAAAATATTTAATGGGAATTTATAAAGCATTTAAAATTTTGTTGCAAATGAAACAAAACGATTCCTTTAAATATACAGACAGCACCTAAACATACGAGTCATACATAACATTAGTTCTTTAGATATTTGAACTCCCTATTCAAGGAAACAAACATATTTACTAGCAAGGTAGAAAGGAATTAAGATTAATTTTTGCATTTTGGAAAATTCTGAATTATAAGTTATTGTAAACGCATAATTGCCAGTATTTACTTCGTAAAGAGAAAAATGAAATCTCAAATTCCATTTGTTTTAATTACCTAATTGTTACAGTTTCGAAAGTCCAAGTACATAGTAACAGCGTTTAAGTAATAATTATTATGTCTATGTAACGAAGATAGTCAAATACTTTCAGAAAATAAAACATTTGAACTTAAAATAAGTCGTTTTAAAGGATAATTAAAATTTATTTATTAGCTGTTGTTTGCATTACGAGTTCTTTTTAGATAGGTTTTTTATCAGATATATCACTTTTTAACGGGTACAAACGATTTAAAAAGTCAATTTCGAAAAGATATTCGAAAATTCGAAAATTTCATAGTCAATCATCAAACTTTTCGAATGTCAGAAAACACAAATTTAAATTCACAATTTCAAATATAGATCATTAATTCTTACATTTTGAATTTATACGATTTATAACTGCAGTTTATTGAAAACGGAATGTCTATTTTCTGAAAATCAAAGTGGAAAAGAACGAAATTAGAGCCAACAATAAGTGAAAAAGATTCCACCATACCTATATGTATAAAAAAGCTTTGAACTCTCAACTTGATTATTCTATTCAATAGAAAGAAAAAGACAATATAAAAAAATCATCCTTAAATTCTTATATGGTCAAAAGATATTAGAGATGAGTTTTTCTCCTCATATTTCTCTTTAAACAAATTTGTGTTTCTAAAGTGATAAAAAAAGTGATTAGGTATATCTATATTTGAAGTGCTGATTTAAACAGAAAGTGTTTGAAAAATGAAAAGAATTTATAAATAATAGAATAGTCAGTTTGAATATTATCACACGATTCATATAAAACATAATAAAAGAAACGAAATAATAAATTTTTGAAGCGTAACATAAAAAGAACATTTCACCGATTGAAGAAAAAGTAAAAATCTTGAGTGGTTATCCAATTTGAGAATCCTTTCGAGATGATTGAAGCTACTCAAAAGGTGATTTTCGCGTTATATTATTATTTAGAAATATTTTACGTTAGTTCGGTTTCGGTTCATAAGATATTTTTTCAACTGAAATGCAAGTGAACAAGTGAAATTTATTTAAAAAATGATTAAAGTGTAAAAATTTATTAAGTATTTTTAAGCATTATTTTACATTATTATATTTTATCTTTGTTCAAATATTTTCAAATTTAATTTGTGTTTAGGTTGAAATTGAGATTGAACATCATGTACTGACTCAAACGAAAAAACTGTCAGACGGCACCTTTGAAAAGATATTTTCAAGAAATCCTCGAAATGAAGTGGGATTATTTACTTATAATTGCCATCTCTGTGCTGTTGCAAATTTATCTGGAGAAAGATCCCTACAAACTCATATAACCGGAAAAAAACATCAACAAAGGCTGATATACGATTACGTTCCTGATGCTCAGCAATTCAAAAGAGAACTTGTTCCTAAGTCAAAACGTCAGTTTAATTTAGCTCTCTTAAAAACTAATCGAAATAATAAAGTAAATTTTATCTAATTTTAATTTAATTTTAGCTGCTACCATGAATATTTATCCAGGGGAGCCAGCACCACCAGGATCTGAAGAAGAATTCCGTAGCAATGTTGAATCTGTTATTGAATGTATTTCAAATAAACAAACAAAGGCTATAATTGGCATGGAGTATGTTATAGAAGTCGTCGACAATAAGGCTAGAGAGCCCTTCTTCGTTTGTACTTTATGTGAAAAGAAATGCGACCCAAGAAATATTATTCCTCAACTAACATCTCATCGACACAGGATGAAGTATTTGGTAAATAAAATTTCAATTTCAAAACACTTGTCTGATGCTTTAGTATCAACTTTGAATTAAAAAAATGTGAATCCCAAATCTCATAAAGCATACATCTTGATAATTTTCATTTTGTTCAATATCTAATTGATTCTTAGGAATTTCATTTTCCCTCTGTGATGAGCGTGTTAAATCGAAATCATAAATTCAACATGAATATGAATTTTCGAGAAGAAATTCTCGCAGATATCGCAATGAAGATTGAGCGAAAGTTTAAAAGATTAAAGCCCTTCATTTGTGACTATCGTGAATACGAAGGAAAGAAATTTCAATTGACTGAAAAAATTAAACAAAAAAAGCACTTCGAAGCAAGTGATTGGCAAGAATGTGAAAAAGTTTTGCTGGAAAATTTGTTCACTGATAAGGAGTTAGAATCAGTATCTAGTGAATCAGAGAGTGAATTTAAGGATCGTGATAGTAAAGCTTTGTCTTCGAATCGTATAAAAAACTTCTCTTCGAAAAATTTAAGGTAATATATAATTGAATTCTTTTTTATTGTTTATGTACTTTATATACATATAAGTGAGTACAATTTCTGTCACAGAATCAAATATTTAAATATAAAAAAATATAAAGGTCAATTAGTTTGACTTTTCTTTTATTAAAATTATGAAACTATTAAAATGTTAATCTATAACATTTTTTAGCTTTTAAATTTAATGATATCTCATACTTTTACACTACAAAAAGTATTCCTGTTATGTTTTCTTTCAATTTTGTAGAGAATCAAAAACATTCAATCAATTCATATCAACTTTTACTGGTGGTGACCAAAAGACAGGTGAAAAAAGAAAAATTTTAACACCTCGTGAACTCAGCGAACAATCCAATGCAAAAATGCATGAAAAATATATTATTGAAAAGTATAAAGCAACTGTAAGTATCAAGAAAGAAGAATTGGAAAGGCGATTCAAAGAATACTCGTCGTCACCTGAAAGTCATCCAAAATATTCCGAAGAATGGAAAACCTTCTGGAGTCGACGGTATAAAGAGCTTCTTTCTCAAGGTAAAAATGGTAACGATTATGATTATAAGCCAGAATGGATTGAATTTTGGACAAAAAGAATGAAAGATTTGCTCAAAATTGATATTGATAAGATGAAGGAAAAGGTCAGAAAAGATTTAAAACTCACAATCAATGCAATCTCTGATATTGAGTTTAGCCCAAAATTAACAAGAAAACGAAGCATTAGTCAAAGTCCCATTAGAGAGTCTCGTGGTCGTAAAAGACGAGATAGTTTTATTGAAATTTCATCTGATGAGTCAATTGAAGATCAGCACTATAATTACAAAGATTCAAAAGGAAAGAATCATTGTTCAGATTATAAGAAAAGCTCTAAAGAAAGGTCACGTAGTCGCTTTTCTGAAAGTCCATACAGTAGACATTTAGATTATCGATCAAAAGAAAAGTATGATCATCATTTAATGCGGTATAGANGGAAAATCGATTTTAGTAGTGGACAAGATGAGACTGACCATCAAGAGTATACAACATTAGCATTTGATGATCCGAAGAATGTGAATCGCCAATTAATTTTCTTTAGACAATTTCAAGCGATTTTCTACAAGAAATTCATTTATTGGCTACGAAACTTACCTTTGTTTTGTGCGATGGTGGCAATTCCCATCATTATGACCTGGTTGTGTTTCCTACTTAACAATTATCTTGCTGATAAAACTCACATGACGTTAAATTTGAGAGTTGATAATATTGATGAACCTTTGATTATTGCAAACTTTAAAGGGGTTCTCAAGTGCACAGTTTGAAAATGTTTTCACACAATATTGTCGTGAAGTGAATGCAGAAGTGAAGATTTTACGTGATAAAGACATCGATTATGAATTGATGGAAGAAAGTAACGATTTGCTAAGATATTATGACAATCTCCTCGGTGCAATTGACTTTGAAGAAAGTTCTGATGGATTAAAAGTTAAAGCAAAAATCTTCTATTCAGAGAAGTTCTGTTGCTGTCATGGTTTCTTAAATGTTGAATCTGTTATTGAGTGTATTTCAAATAAACAAACAAAGGCTATAATTGGCATGGAGTATGTTATAGAAGTCGTCGGCAATAAGGCTAGAGAGCCCTTCTTCGTTTGTACTTTATGTGAAAAGAAATGCGAACCAAGAAATATTATTCTTCAACTAACATCTCATCGACACAGGATGAAGTATTTGGAATTTCATTTTCCCTCTGTGATGAGCGTGTTAAATCGAAAGCATAAATTCAACATGAATATGAATTTTCGAGAAGAAATTCTCGCAGATATCGCAATGAAGATTGAGCGAAAGTTTAAAAGATTAAAGCCCTTCATTTGTGACTATCGTGAATACGAAGGAAAGAAATTTCAATTGACTAAAAAAATTAAACAAAAAAATGGTAACGATTATGATTATAAGCCAGAATGGATTGAATTTTGAAAAAAGAATGAAAGATTTGCTCAAAATTGATATTGATAAGATGAAGGAAAAGGTCAGAAAAGATTTAAAACTCACAATCAATGCAATCTCTGATATTGAGTTTAGCCCAAAAATTAACAAGAAAACGAAGCATTAGTCAAAGTCCCATTAGAGAGTCTCGTGGTCGTAAAAGACGAGATAGTTTTATTGAAATTTCATCTGATGAGTCAATTGAAGATCAGCACTATAATTACAAAGATTCAAAAGGAAAGAATCATTGTTCAGATTATAAGAAAAGCTCTAAAGAAAGGTCACGTAGTCGCTTTTCTGAAAGTCCATACAGTAGACATTTAGATTATCGATCAAAAGAAAAGTATGATCATCATTTAATGCGGTATAGAAACTCTGAACGAAGTCCTACACCAAATTCGGCTGAAATTGAGGAAGATGGTCCTGTGAATCTTGTATCAGTCTGTCGTCTCTTATCAGCATTAGAAACGGAACTTGGTCTTTTAGCAAAACCTGTTATTGATTTACTGAAAAAAGGAGTGGCACTTGAAAAATCTAAGCCAAATTCTGCAGATGAACTTCTTTTCAACACTGAAAATTCTAATATACTAGAAACAGTAAAGGAAAAATTGAAAGGAGTCTTAACTGCTAATCTTTTAGCTTCAAATAAAATTGTCGCTGTAAAGCGAGCGATTCAGAATATTGCCACATTATTACATGATGTGAATTCAAAAAAGAAACATGAAAACGAAAATAAGACATCATTGAATGAAGAAAATTCTGATCCTGTTGCTTTAGCAAAACTCGAGATTGCCAAAGTGATCACTCAGTCATTATTGGATCAAGGACGTAGCGATTTTCCACCTGAAGAACTCGAAGCATTGGTTGAAAGTTTTATAGAATCAACTAAAAATGATGAGCAGCAAAAAGCTAATAAGATTGAAAATGTTAAAACAAAGGATAGCATTGAAACGTTGAAAACCCCTCTAGTAGTAACAACAGACACGAAAAAATCTTCAGAAAATTCTACAGGATTGGAAAACTTAACTGACGAAGACTTGCAAACATTGTTAAGAAATTTTGCAGACCTTACATCAGACGAGCAAACACATTTGATTGCATATCTTTCTAAAATTGAACAATCAAATCCAGCTCGCGTTGAAAAACTGAGAAAATTTGTCAATATTGGAGACGTTGACGAATATAATGATTTCGAAGAAAATGTTACAAAAATGAAATCTGATAGAGAGTTAGATACATCGTTTAATGAAACATCAATGGAGTTAGTAAAGAATGACCTTTCGGACGATGATTACGATGATGAAATAATGGCAAAACATTTAGGAAGCTCTGACGATCTAAATAAAAAGCCATCTATGTCTAGTTCTGCTGTATCAAGCAATGCATTTAAGGATAATTTAGGATTAGCAGATAGTTTAATGAGCTCACTTATTCAAAGTTCAATGCCATTATCGATGAACAATGAGTTAGAATTACAAGGAAATGAATGGGGAGGTGCTTGCGTAAGTGGTGCATCTGCTTACTATCAGCAGCCACAATTAAAAAATTATCAAAATTTAATGTCGAGAAACTTTTCCGTTTATCCTAATGTTTTAATTCCACAGAATGAAATGTCCATACAAGTAATTACTCCTCAAATGGAAAGTTCTTGGCCGCAACAAAGTTCGGTGTCAAATTTCACATATGAACAGAATCATTCTCATGACTATCCAAATAAAAATAATCGAGATAATGTTCAATATCGAAAGAAATTTGAAAACCATAATAATCATCAGCTGACTGGTAAAAAATCGAGACGATAATTTTTCATGAGTGAAAAATCCTAAATTGTCGCATCGTTTATGATCATTAATTAAAATACAAATTTACTTTAACAACAATTATCTTTCATCTTACTGGAAAATATACATTTAATAACTATAAACTTGCATATATACTATCCAAACGCAACACAATTTTTTCTTTGAATAAATTTTTTTTAAATAATTTCTATCTGTGTAGATTTTGATTAAGTTCATAATTGATTTGCTAGTTAAGTTGAAAATTGATCATATGAAGGGAAAAATAAATAATCTTACAAACCTACTATCTACTTATATGAATAAATGTTTTGAACTGATTTGCTTTTGTTTGGTGATACTGCCAAAACATGAATAAATTTTTAATTTATTAATTTTCTTATTTTCCTCCGTTTTATACATGTTTCAGGAAAACTTTATTTTAAATAAAGGCTTCGCTTGTCATTGCAGCTTAAATGCAAAAATAAAATAAAGATCTCTAAAAATGTTCGTTCATTCCGATTTCATTGTGTACTTGATATATAAAATACGCCCTTAAAAACATAACATTAGGTAATTTAATTAGTTGTTTGAACGAAATTTTATATCAAACATAAGCATCCAAAATAAAAAAGTTCTGTATTGACTCACACTTGATTGAGATTTCTCGGGTTGGGATATAAAAATTTTTACCTAAAATTTTTATATCTCCATCACTTTTTCTGTTTGAAACAAAAGATGAACAAAATTAAAATGCTGAGACTGTTTTTAACAAATTGATTTATAGGTTTACTGTATTTCTCAAAATATTTCTTTCAGGGCACTATGTAATGCGACATTCTGTGTTACTTTTTTTCCTTTTTAAGATTAATTCATAAAGAGGTGAACCCTAATGTCCTTTATCAATAATTACTTTATCCTCTGTTAATTGTATAGCATAATAAATTTCTAGTGGCACCACAAAACACGTAGTAGATTATTCATTCATAAGAAGCATAAGAAAACA